TGCCACACATTGGAGGTCAGCCTAGACTATACAGTAAGACCCTATCTACAAAGGAACAAAACAAAATTTCAAATTGATTAATATATTTTTATTTAGAAACCAGCCCTGTCTATACATTGTAGCCCTTTTAATCTTCTCGCTTTAATTCCCACTCTTGGTGACTGTCTTTTCTTGATGGGCCTCATGAAAGGCTGTTATAGGAAGCCTGAGACAAGACACCAGGAAGGTTCAGGCTGCAGCCTGGTCCAGAGGACTTACATCTTAACATCTGGACCCCAAAGAGTAGACATTCTTATGTTACAGCATAGGCAAATTACATATTGGTTAGCTAACAGCCAAAAGTCATAAAGAGCAAGTGGTTTGTCTGGTTGTTGAGGGAAAAAAAGGTATAAATAGTTCCTTTTGGGGGCTGGAGAGTTGGCTCAGCAGTTAAGAGCACTGGCTGCTCTTGCAGAGGAACCTGGTTCAGTTTCAGCACCCAGATGTCAGCTAACGGTCCTAACTTCAGTTTCAGAGGACTCAGCGCCCCCTTCTGACCTCCAGGGGCATTGTACAACATGGGTGCACTTCCATACATGCAGGCAGTACACTCACAGACATAAAAGTTCCTGTCTGAGACAAACGGAACTAAGGAAATGTCGTTAGTCAGGACATGGGGTCAGTGGCTCTAGCTGTTGCCAGCGTTCTGACAACAAACTTGTCAGCTGAACTTTTCTGACAGTCAGAAAACAAAACGCCCATTTTCCTTGATGTCCCCCATCTTTCCATTAGGTTCTACAAAAGGCTGCTCCCTAGTTTGTCTTCAGAGCCCTGGCTTTAGGACTGTTGACGTTTTTGTTTACATTTCTGCCAATGAGGCACATTGAATTCACTCTACTGTTGGCTCTTTCTGTCTTCAAGACTTCATTTTCTTGTTTTGCTGAGTTTTGTTAGCTGCTTCATGTGCTTATTTTCAATACTGATTGATTTATTTTGTCCATGGCCTAGGTGTGGATACCAGTTTTGTGCTTGTGACAAGCATTTTTAACCACTGAGCCATCTCAATGGCCCTGATTGACTGATTGATTGACTGATAATTTTTTTTTTTTTTTTTTGGTCTTTTTGAGACAGGGTCTCCCTGTAGCCCCAGCTGGCCTGGAACTCACAGAGATCTGCCTGCCCCTGCCTCCCCAGCACTGAGATTAAAGGCATGTGCTACCACGCCCAGCTGATTGTTGATTTTTTTGAGACAAGATCTCATGTAGCCCATGCTGGCCTCAGACATGCTATGTAGCTGAGGATGACCTTGAGTTCTTGATCCTCCTCTCTGACAACCGTGGTTACAGATGTTGTCACATTCTGTTTGTCTGGGGGTGGGGGTGGATCCAGAGCTTCTTGCATGCCAACCCCAACATTTACAGCTTGAAATTAAGTCAACATATGGCTTTACTGCAGCCTGCCAGAGTTGATGGCCAGGTGTCTGGGCATCCTGTGATCCCAGCACTTGGGAGGTAGAGATAGGAGAACCAGAAGTTCAAGATCATCCTCCCCTGTGGAGAGGGTTTGAGGATGACAGGACACCCTGTACCCATGAACAAAAAACAGCTTCTTGCTGTCATTACACTGAGCATGCTTGGGATGTTCTGTGATGGCTTGTTAGATATATGCTTAAAGTGTACAAATTTGTGTCATGTGTGCATTTGTATGTATTTTAGACATTTTAAAACTACATTCTTTTTTTTCTTCTTCTTTTTTCAGACAGGGTCTCCCTATATCCTCAGCTGGCCTAAACTCACTATGTAGACCAGGCTGGCCTTTAACTTACAGAGATCCACCTGCCTCTGCCTCCCAAGTGCTGGGTTTAAAGGTGTGTGCCACCATGCCCAGCTGAAGCTACATTCTTATTGTTAATATTTAAACATAATGATACTGTGTTCAGGTAATGTGATCTGTATGTTACCAGATTTTTTAATTTTGAAATTTCCTTATAAAGTCATCTTGATGGATTTTGAAAGTGTTTTATATTAACTTGGGCATGCTATTCTTGGAGTTCCTTTTGTCCGCTAGCTCACGTGTTCATGGTGTGCTAGTAGTCCCGTTGTGTGTGGTTCATTGACTTTGCTGTGTTAAGATTTGTCACTCAAAGTTATGAATTTGTCTATTGCCTTCTTATAACTCCTCTTTGGTTGTGTATTTTGAATCTGTAGAGTACAGGGCTCAGTCTGTCTTGAGTGTGACTCCTCCCATCAGTGGCTGTCTCTGCACCGTGTCCTATGGCTTGCCTGAAATTCTCTTTGTCTAATGTTAATGCAGCCAAATTTAAGAAAGATTAAGATGGTAAATTTTGTGCAATGTGTGTCTTACCAAACTTTAAAAACAAGGGGAACCAGACATGGTCATCCCAGCACTTGTGAGGGGAGGCCAGGCTGGCCTTGAACTCACTATGTAGCTGAGGATGACCTTCAGCTTGATCTCCCTGCCTCTGCCAGCCAGTGCCAGGCATTCCCAGTGTTGAGCAGCTACCACCGCCGTCCTTTTCCAGAGCCTTTTCTTTCCTTTTTTAAAATTTATTATTTTTATTTTATTTTATGTGTATGAATGCTATGCCTGCATGTAGGTAAGTGCACCCACGTCGTGCAATGCTCAAGGAGGACAGAAGAGGCTATGGGATCCCCAGGAACTGGAGTTACAGACAGTTATTTGCTGCCATGTGGGTGCTAGGATTTGAACCCGGGTCTTCTGCAAGAACAACCAGTGTTCTTAACTGCTGAGCCATCTCTCCAGCCCCTTCCAGAGCCTTTTCATCACCCACATCCACTCCTCCTCCGGTGCTGGCTGGCTTCTTAGCATTGTGTTTTCAGGCTGCTGTCTGTGGTACTTGTCAGAGCAGCACATGATACCACACTTGTTGATGTGGTCCATAGATAGACACCAGGCTGCTCACTTCTGACTACTGTGTACGACCTGCTGCGGACGTTGGCGTGCACCTGCTTTCCTTTCCTTTGGTGGATGTGCCCAGGGTGAACTGGATGGACCTCATTTAATTTCTGGGTGACACTCTGAGAAACCACACTGTCTGTGCGCCCAGAGGAAGGAACTCAACTTTATTCTGGGTTTTCTGATCACTGATTTTTCTTTGCTTCTTTCTCCTCGTTTGTTTTGGAAAACGCACTCACAGCAGAGCAAAGGGAACGGGTGTGACGCTGGCGAGAGGGAGGGCCTGGGAAGCAAGGAGACCTCCAGCTGAGCAGGGAGAGCCCTAGGCTTACTGAGTGGGTCCCATGAGGACACAGCCGCTCATGCACACTGCACACATTCCTGTGCTCTCAGGCACAGGAGGCAGCGAGGGACGCTCACAGGTGGGGGTGAAATAACAGCGCGAAGGCGCACCATTCTGTGAGGTATTTCTGGGTATTATCTCAGGGGCCTCCAAGACAGCTTTTCTAACCCCGATATAATTCGGGAAGCCACTTAGGGGGAAGTTCTGGGCCTTCACATTCACATCCCTCTTCTCTTCACCCCCTGCCCTGGCCTGCATTGTTGCACCATGACTTCCAGTCCTTTGCCACAGTGGGGCCACCATGCTGGGAACAGGACCTCCCAGACAGAAGTGTGGCTGCAGCTCCTTGAGCCCCTCCCATCCCCTACCCAGCAGTGCCTGCAGCCACCCCCATCCCTCAACTACCCTACTCTGCTTTTCCCCTGGGAATCTATCACTGCTCCCCTTCTTTCCAACCTGGTGAACAGGAGGGCCAGGAGAGACCGGTGTGTTCCCACTGTCCCCCCACAGGGGTCCTGGCTCCATACTCGCCACGTCACCGACCAGGTCACCTTTAAGTACCCCTTTATCAGTGGGGTCCCCCCAGAGGGGGCCTGGCTCCATGCTTGCCCCTGACCGGGTCACCTTTAAGTACCCTTTTTCAGTGGGGTCCCCCCAGAGGGGGCCTGGCTCCATGCTTGCCCCTGACTGGGTCACCTTTAAGTACCCTTTTTCAGTGGGGTCTTAGTTGTGCGGCTTTTGTGGTCCAGGCTTTGTCTCCTGTTTGCATGAACGTCCTACAGGAGCCCAGGTTCTGGATCTTTTCTTCCCTTTCTTCCTTTCCTCCCTCCTTCCCTTTCTTCTTCCTCTTTCCCTTGTCCTCTTTCCCCTTTCCAGTCTCCTCTTCCTTCTTCTCCCTCCCTCCGCTTCCTCCGCCCCCCCCCAACCTCCTGAGACCTGTGGACTAAGGCCATGACTTTGATTACTCAGCTCTAGATGCTGGCAGACACTAACCATCCAATCAAGTCATGTGGGGAGTAGGAAGCAGAGTTGGTGTGAGCAGCCAGGCTCACTTTCCCATGTCATGCTGTGTCTCCTCTGGTCACAGCCCATGGGCTTCCCAGTTCCCCAGAGGTGCAGGCTGAACACAGTCTAAAGAACCCTGGCCTTAAGGCTGAAGCCTGACACTTGTTCACACTGGTGGAAAAACAGGCCTGTGGGTTCCTCTGCACAGCACAGGGCATCTGGTGAGACAGAGCAGCTCATGGCCCTGAAGAAGGGAAGCCCTTGGGGAAGGCCCTCAGCCAGCCATCCTGCCTTGATGGCCCCAGGAATGGCAGGGGTGGGAACACTTGCAAGGTTCTGCCCACAAGGCTGCTGTGTGACAAGGGTCACAGCAGGTGCCTCTCATAGATGTGGGGTGAGACCCCTTACAGTGGTCCCCACTCACAGGGTGTGGACAGGGCCAGTGCTGGCTCTCTGATGAGGGATGATGGGAAGAGGGTGGAGATGGCTCTCTGTTTCTGTGCATGCGCTGCACTAGGAGGGCAGAAAGCTGGGGAGCAAGGCCGTTGATGACACCCATGTCCTGAAGCCAGTGTCTTCAACTAGTCCTCCTTCTGATAGTCACTGACCGGAGCCCCTGAGCTAGTCCCCCTGAGTTTGGCCAGCACGGGGGCGGCCCTGCCCAGGCTCTGCTCTGCTCCTGCCCTGCTGGCAGGGCCACCTGTGCCCTGTGCTCACACTGCCGCTCCCCTCACAGGTACTGTGACTGCTTCACCGGCGGGGACTTCTACAACAGCTGCAAGTGCAACAACTGCTGCAACAACCTGCGTCAAGAGACGGAGCGCTTCAGGGCCATCAAGGTAAGCGCCTGAGAAGGCCTGCTGTTGAGGTGTCCGTGGGGATGGGCCAGTAGTGACCAGGGCTGCAGTGACCTCTGCCCGCAGCAGCAGGGGTGCTTCAGGGTGCAGCAGAGCCTGCAGAGCCCTGACTCAAGTCCACCAACTCTGTCTTTTGTCGGGGTACATGAGTGCGGGTTGTCCTGTGCAGGGAAAGGCTGCAGGCTTAAGAATGGGAAGGCATTCGGGCCTCACTCAAGCTTCTGTTTCCCTGGCATTGGCCACAAGGCCACCTAGACTTTCCTGTGGGCAGGCGGCCCCCAGGGTCCATGCTTCTGCAGGCTGACTGCTAGGACCTGCTGCTTCTGCCTCTTCGTGGCACAAGGACCAGCAGTGGGAGGGACTGGCAGCTTCTCCAGGGAGACACTTCCTAGGCCACCAGGGCCACTGACTAAGACTAGAGACGACCCTGTACAAAGAACCATGTGCTGTGGCTGGCCTATATTTTTTTAATGTTATTTTATTTTATCTCTATGAGTTCATGTGTGTAACTGCACCCATGTCGTGCAATGCCTGAGGAGGTCAGAAGAAGGCATCAGATCCACTGGAACTGGAGTTCGGGATTGTTGTTAGCCGCCATGTGCATGCTGGGAATTGAACCTGGGTCTTCTGTAAGAGCAGTCTGTGCTCTTAACTGCTGAGCCAACTCTCCAGCCCCTAGTCTATTTTTTTTCCTAGAATAATTTAATTCCCCTCTGAAGTTGTGGACACATCACTTAGAAATATCTTCGCAATTTTGATGTGGCCAGACCCAGAGGGCAGAAGGGGATGGCGGTGCCCCCAAGCTTTATGGTATGTCATGAGCTTTTTACTTAGTGGGAAGAGCTACCTGTAACAATGTGAGATCAGAATTCTCTCTCACCGAGGACAGGAACACAGCTTGATACCACCACTTTGGAAACCGCAGACATTCCAGTAGCTAAACTTTTGTCTATTGTGACCCGGCAAGTTCTTCTCTAACTTATGAGAATAAATTCTCAACAAGGACCTCTGGAACAAGTTCCCAGCAGCTTCCTACATAATAGACACAAGACCTGCACAAGGCCAGTGCTCATCAATAAGGGGATGAGCACTCTCGAGTTGGGCAACTACTGAGTGCCACTGCTACAGAGAAGGACCCAGGGTTCCCTTCAGTGGAAGGAGTCCTGTTGGCCTCCCCCTCAGCCTGGGTCAGGTCACAGGGTGTGACCTGTACACTGTTTACCCTCTGCCCTGGTAGCTCTGCTGTGCACATTCACTACCTGTCATCCTTCAGCAATCAGTAAAACCCCTGAATCAAATGCACTCCAGCTAGTGCCGTCCCGTAGGACATTGTCTGCCATGATGGCAGTATGTGAACGCCTCAGGTTGAGGACCTCTGTGTGACTCCTGTGGTGTCAGAACTTTTGCAAAGAGCATGAATCACTTTGTGTTTGAAAACATAGGCGTGCTTGTCTGTATACACACAGCAGATGAACTCAAGAGTGAAGGTGTGCCAGGGTAGAAGGTCATGTGCAGGGCTTGGGCGTGGCGTGGTGCTGGGCACTTGCTTAGCACATGTGAGACCCTGGGCTCTGTCCCCAGGGCCTCTGGAAACAAGACACAACAGGCCATGCCATGTGTTCTGTGTGATGAAGCCACAGCCCCGAGGTGTCAGCCTGGGGGCTTGGACTCCTTGTGTAACCACTCACCATCTCTTCCCTGGCTTCTTGATGCCTCAGTTTCTCCATCTGTAAAACAGCAGTGACAGCAGCAGTTTGACCTCCACGAGCTTGCCAACAGGACGAATGGGAGGCAGCAGATGTCATCGTAAAGAAGGATGGCTGGGCACTGCAAGTCCTGTCTCCTTCATTCACAGCCTCACAGCCTCACTGCCTCAGGCTAAGGTGCAAAGCATGCTGGGAAAGCACCCTGTTGTCTTTGTATCTTTAACCACTCACTCATTTCCTAAAGCACACATGCATGACCATTGAACACAAGAAAGAGCCCGGTGCTTCTAGAGCCTGGCTACAGTGCGGCCCTGTGCAAGGTGAGGCACAAAGACAGACCCCCGGTGTGTTCCAGAGCCCTGCTCCTCAGTGACTCCCCTGCACCGCCTTCCCTTCTTCCAAGCCCCAGTTCTGAGTTCAAAATGCAGTCCTGATGGCTTTCCCGCTCTCTCTCTTAGGTACGTCTTGATAGAAATCCTGAAGCTTTCCAACCCCAAACTGGGAAAGGCCAGCGGGGAGATGTTAAGCTGAGATATAACAAAGGATGCAGCTGTAAGCGATCAGGCTGCCTCAAGAACTACTGCGAGTGCTATGAGGTGAGCCCACACCAGCACTAGCGGGAACACTGGGAAGAGGCCACTAAGCAGCTTTTGTGGGTAGAAATCTCAGTGGAATTTAAAAGGAGAGGCAGAAGCCCTGCTGTTCCCGGCTGTGATGGTCGGTGTTCACTGTCAACATGATGGAGTCCAGAGACAGGCTCTGGCATGTGTGTGGGGCACTAGCTTCTGCCTCCCTTTTTTCTGCTTATTTTTCTTTGTGTTGAAGAAAGAGCAAGAAAGGGAGGGAACCTCTGGCCCCTTAGAGAAAAGCCTCCCAAGCCTCTCTCTGCTCGCCCAAGGCCTCTGGGAGCCATGTCTATAAAAGGCTGTCAGAGACTTGCTTCTTAACCCTTTGGCTGAGATCAAGCGTGAAAAGTTGTCATAGAGTTAGATGTGGTGGGGCATACCTGTACTCCTGGTACTTAGGAGGCTGATAGGGGAGGACTTTAAGTTCAAAGCCTGCCTGGGCAACTTAGGAGACTCATTCTCAAAAAAGAAGAAAAGCTGTAGAAGGACACGTTAAAGAGGAGCCCTTGGGCTGAAGAGATGGTTCAGTGGTTAAGAGCACTTACTGCTTTTTCAGATGGCCTAGGTTTGGTTCCCAGCACCCACATCAGGTGGCTCACAGCTTCCTGTTGACTCCAGCTCAAGTGACCCAACAACCTCTTCTGGCTTCTGTGGGCACTGTACACATATACCTACATACAGACACACACATAACATAAAAATAAATTAAAAAAAGAGTCCACCCAGGTGTGGTGGTTCATGCCTATAATAAGAACTCTGGAGGTTGAGACAGGAGAATCACTGTGAGTTCAAGGCCAGCCTGGGCTACAGAGTGAGTTTAAAGCTAGGTTGAGCTACATGAGACCCTCCCTCAAAAAGCAAATGGAAGGGAAGAAGCAAGAAAGGGAGGGAAGGAGGGAGGGAGGGAGGGATGAAAGAAGGCAGGCTCTCATGATTCTATAAATACAGCCAAAATGTTGCAGAGATAGAGAATTCATTGAGTGATGTCCCCAGGCAGCGACTTCCAATAGGTGCCCTCACTGGTGACCACCAGTCAATGACCTGGCCAAGTCTTTGAAGGCAGAGCCTGTGTCTGACAGCTGCCCATGGAACATGCTGCAAGGAAAGGGCAGTGTTGGCTAGATGTTCCTCCTGCTTCAAGGTGCCAGATGCGAATGGGAGCCCACAGGAGCCCATAGAGATGAGCCTGGGAGGGGGCAAGGCCAGGGATCCCAGGGATAAGAGGACATGAAATGAAACCCAGGGTTGACAGTACCATTGTGCCTGCTCTTCAGGCCCCATGGGCAAGGAGGGGGACCTGGCAGCCATGGGACACCTGACCTCGCACTGCCACGAGGGACTCCAGTCAGAGCCACCCTCCAGGAAGTCCTTGGTCCCCTGAGCCATGGCTCCCCAAAGTACATTCTCTGCAGTGGAAGGACCTGACCCAACCTTGAGCTGCTCCAAAGCTGAGCCTGCGCTGTCCAGACAAGCCAGGGGATGGCTGTTCCTGTGATGGGAGAGACCCCGCCCCACCAGGCCCTTTTCCATCTTCCTTGCCAGCCCCACGGTGTCTTCCCCAGGTCACTGCACACTTGTTCTGTGAGACAGTCTTTCTCTGCAGCTCAGACTATCCTGGAGCTTGCTCTATAGCCCATGCTGCCCTTGAATGTGTGGGCCATACTCCTGGCCTCTGCCTCCCTCTCAGTGCTAGGACTGTAGTTGTGGCCACCACGTTCATTGATTGCTTTTGTTTTGTCTTGCTGTAAAAATGCAGACTGCACACATGCACAGAGTTATTGAAGACCCAGATAGAATTGGTGAACTTTGACCTGCAGGGCAGCCTAATTTCATTAACGCATTTTCTGTCACCAGGCCAAAATTATGTGTTCTTCTATGTGCAAATGCGTTGGCTGCAAAAACTACGAAGAAAGCCCAGAACGAAAAACACTTAGGAGCATGCCACACTACATGGAGGCTGGAGACATTGAAGGCAGCCAGCATCTGTCACCAGTCCAGCTCTCAGGGTATCCAAAACTTAGAAAAGATGGGTAGGTGCTCTGAACTAGTGAGGTACTGGGATGAGTCTGAACTGGTCTGGGACTGCAGGGATCACAGAAGGACAGGAAGATGGAAGCCCATCTTCCTCTGCTGGGACAACATGCACACACATACATGCATACACATACACACACACCACACACATATACACACATACACACACACACACCCCCACACACACCCCACACACATACGCACACACATACATACACACATACACACCACACACATACACATACCACACACATACATACACACATACACACACACCCCACACACATACACACACACACACCACACACATACATACACACACATACGCACACACACACATACATATACACCACACACACATACACACACATACATATATATATACATACACACATACACACCACACATACACACCCCCACACACACATACACACACACACACCCCCACACACACCCCACACACATACACACACATACGCACACACATACATACACACATACACACCACACATACACACCCCCACACACACATACACACATATGCACACACACATACACACACCACACACACATACACATACATACACACCACACACATACACACACACATATGCACATACACACCACACACACATACATACACACACCCCACACACATACACCACACACATACATACACACACACATACGCACACACACACCACACACATACACATATACACACACACACACATACCAGACACACACATACACACACACATACACATACCACACATATACACACACCACACACATACACATACACACACATACATATACACACATACACCAGACACATAAACACCAAACACACACACACACCACACACACACATACACCACACACACGCGCACACACACATAACCCCCCCACATGTACACACATGCACACTCATACACACACGTGCACACACATATAACCCCCCCACACACACATACACACACATGCACACTCACATACACACACACAATACACCACACACACGCGCACACACACATAACCCCCCCACATGTACACACATGCACACTCATACACACACATACACACACGTGCACACACATATAACCCCCACACACACACATACATACACACACATGCACACTCACATACACACACATATGCACACACACACGCACACACACACAGGGTTTCCTGGAGGCCCCACTGTGGAGCATGCTCCATCTCTTACCTTGTCCCTCCCCCTCTCCCTTCTTTTCTTTCCTTCCCTTCTAGGCTGAGGATTGAACCTGTGACCTTCCTCATGCTAGGCAAGTGCTCTCCTGCTGAGCCACGCCCATCCCACGGCTAAACAGTCTTTAGTAGCAACAGAGACATGTCTTTGACACATGTTGAACTCTTTTTTTTTTTTCCCCCCTGGTCTTTTTGAGACAGGGTCTCCCTGTAGCCTCAACTGGCCTGGAACTCACTATGTAAACCAAGCTGGCCTCGAAATTAGAGAGATCCGTCTGCCTCTGCCTCTGCCTCCCAAATGCTGGGACTAAAGGAGTGTGCCACCACATCTGGCGACACATGTTGAACTCTTACCCAAATGTCTATGTTTGGATGTCTTCCTACTGAGTGATCTTGAAACCACATCGCAATCTTAGCAGGTCCCAAAGACTGAGTTGTCATTTGAACCACATATTAGGCTTGACCCAACCAGTCCTTGGAGCAGTTGGGGAGATATCTCAGTAGGTAGTTCCTGCTATGCACACATGAGGACCTGAGTTCAAATCCCTAAATCCCATATAAAAAGTTGGGCACGGTGGCATGTGCTTGTGATGCTAGTGCTGGGGGCAGAGACGGTGGGGAGGGGAGTCCAGCTAATCAGTGAGCTCCAGGTCAGCCAGTGAGAGACCGTGTCTTTTTTTTTTTTTTTTCCGGTCTTTTTGAGACAGGGTCTCTCTGTAGCCCCAGCTGGCCTGGAACTCACTATGTAGACCAGGCTGGCCTTGATCCGCCTGCCTCTGCCTCCCAAGTGCTAGGACTATAGGCATGTGCCACCATGCCTGGCAAGACCCTATCTTACAAAGTTAAGATGGAGGGGCTTAGCCGGGTGTGGTGGCACACATCTTTAATCCCAGCACTCGGGAAGCAGAGGCAGGTGGATCTCTGTGAGTTCGAGGCCAGCCTGGTCTACATAGTGAGCTCCATCCAGGACAGTGGGGGCTACAGGAAGACCCTGTCTCAAAAAGACCAAAAAAAAAAAAAAAAAGATGGAGGGACTGTGAAGATGACTCTGGAAAAGTGCTTGCCCTGCAGGCATGAAGACAAAGTCTGGATCTCCAGCTCCAGATAAATGCTGGGTGGGCATGGTGACCTGCCTGTTATCCCAGGGCCTAGAAGGAGAGGCATGATCCAAGAGCATGCTGGCCAGCCAGGCCAGCCCAGTCGATGACCTCTGGGCTCAAGTGTGACCTTACCTCAAAATGTAAAGTGGAGTGTGATCAAGGAAGATGCTCTACATCAACCTCAGACCTCCACCCTGTGCATGCAGATGTGCATGCTCACCTGCATACACGTGTGCCCGTATACGTGTGAACATACACATGTACAATACACACAAATAAGGTGGAGAGAGAAGACACCCTACATCCACCTTTGGCCTCCACAGGCGCACATACAAGTGCACACACCCATATACATGCATGTCCCCCACACACACAACAAAACAATCCCCCAAATCAGGCTGAAGAGGCAGCTCAGCGGTTAAGAGTTCCAGCTACTCTTGCAGAGGACCCAGGTTCAGTTCCCACCATCCACATGGCAGCTGACAACCATCTGTAACTCCAGTTCCAGGCGATCCTATGCCCTTTACTGGCCTCTGTGGGCATTGTATGCATGGGTGCCCTTACACACATGCAGACAAAATGCTCATACACGTTACATAAAAAATTTTTTTAATTCCCCAAATCAGTTCAACCTAACAACGAACATTCCTTTGAGTGCCACTCAGTGGGTCATGTCAAGGTGGAGTGCCAGGTGTCACAATGAGCCAGTTTCATTCTGCAAAGCTAAATCCAGGCTTATTTGGTTCGAGGCCTGAGAAGCACTTGGAGGTCTGTCTGCCCAAGCCTGGCATCCTCTGTGATGCACTCTCCATCCTGGCTAAGCCTCACTGCCCCAGAGTTCAGTGAGGAAATGGCCAGACCTCTACAGGGTACCCAGGCCGAGGCATCCTGACATGCTCACATCTGTTCCTCAGAGCCACATGCCTGCACATGGAGTCAAGGGTAGCTGCACGGCTGTCCTGTCTGGAAGTCCCACATCACCAAGTCCTGTGTGACCTGGGGATTTGACACTGCAGTGCTGGAACCTCTGGGATTGTTAGCAATCGTAATTCTGAGATGATTTCGACTCTGCCAGGAAAGGACGAGGTGCCCAGCAGCTGACAGGCAGTTCCTGTACCGTTCTCCCCAGCCCAGCACTCACTCACTTCACTTACTTTTGGTTTATTTTTTAAAAAATATTTTGTTATTTAGGTGTATGAGTGTATTGCCTGCATGTGTGTTAGTGCACCCATGTTGTGCAATGCCTGCAGAGGTCAGAAGAGGGTGGTGGGTGCTAGGAATTGGACCTGGGTCTTCTACAAAAGCAACCAGTGCCCTTAACTGCTGAGCCATCTCTCCAGCCCCTTTGGTTTATTTTTTAAGACAGCAGCTCCCTTGGTAGCCAGGCTGGTGTCAAACTATGACAGTCCTCCCGCCTCAGCTTCCCAGGTGCTGGGACTACAGGTGTGTGCTCACAGGCTCAGCTCAATTCCAGCCCCTCCCCCTTTTTATCTTTTTGAATCCCATCTGGTCTGGAACTCACTATGTAGACCAGGCTGTCCTCAGTTTCACAGAGATTCGCCTGTCTCTGCCTCCGAAGTGCTGAGATGAAAGGTGTGCGCCACCACGCCTGGCTAAATGCAACCTTTTATTAGCAGGTGAGGATATGGATTCTGGCAGTGCCACACGTGTATACAGTGTGCTGTGATCACACTCATCTCCTACCTGTTACCTTTGGTTTGTGTTTTGGGAGACTCATTTCTTATGTTACCCACTGAGATTAATGAGGGTTGCTTGCATGGACGTGAGTGGGTGTCATTTCCTGGAGCAGGGGCAAGTTAGCAGTGTCCACAGCCCTGAAGAGAGCAGCACCCTGCCACCAGCAGCCATTAATAGCCACAGCTCCCCATGGAGGGCCGAGGCCCCACAAGCCCCCCATCCACGGTATAACGTTGATGGCAGCCTTGTGCAGGGACCACAGCTCGTGGGGGTCCAGCCTGCGTGCGGGGGGCATGGCCAGATGACGGCCTCCCACCCTGCCCCGTCCTCCTCAGTGTTCTCAGGGGCATGGCCAGAAGACGGCCTCCCACCCTGCCCCGTCCTCCTCAGTGTTCTCAGGGGCATGGCCAGAAGACGGCCTCCCACCCTGCCCCGTCCTCCTCAGTGTTCTCAGGGGCATGGCCAGAAGACGGCCACCCACCCTGCCCCATCCTCCTCAGTGTTCTGTGGGCATGGAGGGGGTACTGTAGATGTCCTGCTTAGAGGACACGGACTGTATGAACCCGCCGCTCTGCTGAGCAAGCTGCCTCTCTCTACCCCAGGCAGCCCTCCTCCTGCATCTCCTGGGAGGTGGTGGAGGCCACCTGCTCCTGCCTGCTGGCCCAGGGTGAGGTGGCCGAGCAGGAGTGCTGCCCCCCATGCCTGGCTGAGCAGTTGATCCTGGAGGAGTTTGGAAGGTGCCTGTCACAGATCCTCCACGTCGAGTTCAAGTCCAAGGGGCTGAAAATCGAGTAGTGCTCGACCTGGGAGTTGCTTGCCCTGAGCCTGGACCTTGGACTTGGGAAGGGACTGAGCCTGGGAAGGTGGTTCAGGGAGGAGTGCCCAGGTCTGCAGCTCAGGCTCAAGTGCTCCCTCTGTGTGGGCCTGGCCAGAGCTCCCCTGCCACCTGGCTCTGACCTGAGCCAGAGGAGAGAGCTTGCGTTCCCATCATTCCAGGAGGGGGGCCTCTCAGGGACGGGATCACCTCCAAGAAGTTTCCTGCCCACTCTTCCCTTGGGAATGGCCCCATGGGACTCCCTGCCCTGCTTAAGAAACCAAGATGGCTTTTTGCTGTTTTCATGTTTGTATCTCACATTATTTAGAAGTAGATTGTCCCCCACCCTGGGGTGGTTATCTCTAGGGAACTACTGAGCCCTCAGAGACTTCCTGCCTGCCTCAAGGCCACTCAAGTCACAGGGCCTGTCATCTCCCCAGGGTCACTGGCAGGCAGGCAATGGGCATCTTACAGGCCAGGACTGTGGCCAGAGGGCAGGTCGGGTCTTCAGATTCTATCTAGTTTCTTCTGTGTTTCCACTTGAATTGAGGAAACATTCTGCTGTCCAACGTCTCTGTGATTACTCTTACCTCACCGTCACTTGCAAAGCACGGTACAGTGGGCATAAGCCAGAAGGTGAAGCTGGTTATTTTGCCCACCCTGTTGTTGCACTCTGTCGTAAACACTTCTGAATTCTCCCTTGTAACTAGGTTAGTAACTGAAGATGTATTTAATAGCGACCCTGAAATACACTGAGTTGCTGTTCTTCAATGTTTCTGTGTAACAACTGTCTCTTTGAGAGCATTACTCAGGCATAAACAGGACAGTGGGGGGGGGCTTACTGAAAAAAAGGGACGAGGCTGGAGATGGCTGTCAGAAAAGTGCTTGCCAAACATACACAGGGACCTGAGTTCCATTCCAAGAATCCAGGTCTCAAAATGGAACAAAACTTAGATGTGCACAGGGGAAGTGGGCAGGAAGATCCCTGTGGCTCATTGGCCACCCCAGTGAGCTCCAGGCCAAACAGACCCTGTCAAAAGAACAAGATGGTGGCTCCTAAAGATGACACCTAAGGTTGACCTCTGACCTTCACATGCATGCACATATATGTGCACTTGCTCATGCACCATAAAGAAGTAAATAGCCGGGCGTGGTAGCACATGCCTTTAATTCCAGCACTGGGAAGCAGAGGTAGGCAGATCTGGTAGATTGAGGCCAACCTAATCTACAATATCCGGTTGCAGGCCAGCTGGGGCTACAGGGAGATCCCATCTCCAAAGAGAAAAAAAAAAAAGAACGAAGATGATGGGGCTGAACAGCTGTGTACTGCCAACCTAGAGGCTGGGCTACCATGGCCATGACGGCAGGACTGCCCTCTGGAGCCCTGGGACCAGTGGCCTTGCAGGAAGCGGGAAATCAGTAGGCTCTGTTTATTCAATTAATTGGTCAGTCCCCAGAACTGGGGTATCAGCATTCTGTTAGGGTGCTCCCTCCCCAAAGTGGGGGAGCAGAAAGGGTCCTGCTTAACAAGGTACAGGGATTCACCCCACATCAGGGGCATCTGTGCAAAGGCCTGAGGGGAGCAAGCCTGGCAGAGCTGCAGCTGCTGATCTGGAGAAAGGAATGTCACACAGGACAGGCCATGGGCTGCTGCAAGGCTGGGTGGAGCAGCCCAAATGCCACCCTTCAGGGGACTTGTTTGGAGCAGGGTGGCCCGCAGCCCCTCTGATCCTGGACAGGGCCTGGCCTGTGTTCTGACAAGTCTCGGGTTCACATGCCCCCCAAGCCAGAGCTGCAGGAGTGGGAAGAAGAATGAAGGGGTGGGGCTGGGCCTGGGCAGGAGCGGGAACCAGCTCTGAAGCAGAAGACTCAAGGCCACAGGAGTATATGGGGAGTGGCCGAACCAGGGCACCATATGTGGCATCAGCTAGTGACCTCTGCAGAGACAGGGAAATGGGCTGCATTGCCCACAGTCCCTCAGTGTGGAGCCTCCATGGGCCACACAGCCATGGGCTCCCTTAGTCCCCCTAAGAGGGTGTGCAGGTGCAACGGGTGAGAGTCGGTGCCGGCAGCCTGTCATACAGCCAGGGAGAACAGGGAGCCAGTGTTACTCAGCTCTGCCCTGCCTCGCTGGGGGTGCCTGCCTCTCCTCTCTTCACCTGCTTTCTTCTCTGATCCTCTGGTACCCATCCCTGCTCAGGCCCATCTGCACCACCCTAGAGCTGTGTTTACTGCCTCAGCAAGCCCCCGCACACATCTGCCCTCATGTGACACTGCTCGGCAGTCACACTCTCTGACCATCGCCCTCATTGCTCCGCTGCTTCCCAAGCCCCAGTCATCTCCCGTTCATTGTCCCATGGGCAGCACATTCCTTTCCTTTCCTGTGTCCCCATAACAGCTACTGTTGGAGAGAGGGGCTGTGCCCGTTTGTGCCTTTCATCATCTCTGGAGCCCATGTCACCTTACCTTTGACTCAGCTGAACACCGAGATGGCCTGTTCTGGAGGACACAGCAATATTGACTTAGACATGTGCAGTCCATGTGCAAGTTTAGGCTAAGATCTTTAGCTTTTAAAACACATCGGGGGTGGGCGGGCTGGAGAGATGGCTCAGTGGTTAACACTGGCTGCTTTTGCAGAAGACTGGGGTTCGAATCCCAGCACCCACATAGCAGCTAACAACTGTCCGAACTGTCTGTAACTCCAGTTCCAAGGGATCCGATGGCCTCTTCTGTCCTCTGCAGGCACTGCACAACATGGGCGCACTTATACACATGCAGGCAATACACACATAAAATAAAAATAAAATAAAACACGTGGGGACCATCGAGATGACTCAGAAGATAAGGGTGCTTGCCGTCCGGGCCTGACAACCCGAGCTTGATTGCTGGAACCCACGTGGTGGAAGGAGAGAACTGACAAATTGTCCTCTGACCACAAATGTGCTGTGATACATGTGCGCCTACACACAACACACATACATCATACATACATACATACATACATACATACAGAAAGCACACTGGTACAGTAAGGGACCGAAGCCAGGAAGAATCAGACAATCCTGGGTACTTGCTATTTTTTATTTTGTCACTCATTGTAATTACTGCAATCAAAACATCTTAAATTACCACAGCACGGCATCAAAGCAGAGCACAGAGGTGGCTGGCTTGCGTGAGTTGGCAGAAGATTCCCCTCAGCCTAGCGTGACTGTAATCACAGCACCCAGAGGGTGCTCTCAGGGTTGCTCTGGGTCTTCTGAGGAGCTGGCCACCGGGAGGCCAGGCAGGCTGTTGAGGGCCCCGGCCTCTGGGAAGGGAAGAGCAGCGCTTAGGTGATAAGCTTGAAAGAGAACCAAGCCCCAGTCCCCCTGGTGGAAAGCCTCAGACCTACTCTCTATGGTGACCCTGGTGGGACTCAGTCCAACCGCAGGCCACCATTCTGTACACGACCCCATGAAGGACCTGCCGCACTGAGCGTGCTTTTGGAGTCGCCCACGCTTGGAAGAGGGGCAGGTGCCATTTGAGTCATGGAAACGGAGTCTCCATGACTGTCCATGAAAACATTCCTATGTTACAGAATTCACAGCAAACAGAAACAGAACTGCTGGCAGAACCAAGGTGCCACACGGAGCTCTCCACAGAGCTTTACCTCAGTTTGCCGTCTTAGTCTCCCTTCTTCCCTTCCCCTCCCCACCGGCAGCACTGAGCTGACCCCAACACCACAGTGAAGACAACCCTGTCAGAAACCCTGGGAGCCGGCCTTGACTTTAACAATAAGACTGGATTATGCAAAATGGGGCAGCCAGTGTCCCTGCTGGGCAGACACAGTGGTCCAAACCCCACACCAACAGGCTCCTCAGCTTTCCTCAACTTCTCCCCAGCCTCACCATGCAGGTCTGACCTGTGCCTGCCTGTGACCAAAGCCAGCCAGGACTAAGAGCCACTGTGTTGAATGGGAACGCACCGAGAGCTGACCTTGCCATGCATGGTGCTAACAGAGCATGGCTTCTCACGGCCTCAAGAACCTGGCTTGTGGCCTGCCATGTCCTAAAAGGCACAGTTTGTTCCCATGCCAAAAAGGGCCAGCAGCGTGAACTGCACCCAAAGCCCCACTCTTCCTGATAGTGCTGTTGGCCTGATGACAATTGGAGGGACAGTGTCCTGGTGGTACCATAATTCCACCCCAGTGCAGGGAGCTCAGGTGTCACGTGCCTCAGCCGCAGGACAGAACGGAGTATGGGCCTGAGGGCTGCAGCATCCCAGTGCAGTTCCGTGAACGTTTTTTTTTCTTTTTTTCCCCCTTGGCAGGGGTGGGGCTCGACCCCAGGGCTTCATGCATGCAGAGCAGGTGTTCTGCCACTGAGCCCTCTGCTCCAGCCCAAGATGGAATTTTAAATGCGTAACACTTCCCATACCTTTGAGACGCAAGAAACTCAAAAACTCAATTATGGTGTGTGCAATATTGTTCTCAGGCAGGGACCGGTCAAAGTTTCCTAGATGACAGACAAAGCAACAAAGCCTGCCATGAGGGTGCGCCTGTGCCCTCACCACCCTCCCATCACCCATCACAGGTCAGGGAGCCAGGCCAAGGGCCTGAGGGCATCCTATGCTACCCCAGGGGCTTGCTAGAATGCTAGAGGGGTCCCAGGTCAGCTCTTCCAGAGGCCTCTGTGGCCAGCTGTTCCCACACTGCCCCATCACCTTGCTCCCTATTCCGGGCAGTTGAGAGGTGTGTGTGGCCATGTGCTCTCAGATCTGGATCAGGCCGGTCTCAGGTTGTGACCGGGAGGCAGGAGGGTGGTAGGTGTGCTGATGCATCTCACACCCCCACATACACCTGCTTTGCCAGGAGTGATGTGACTTGGGCCTTACCTGGCCTCCCTTCCCCTGTGTCCAGTTGTAGCTCCCTCTTGCCAGTGAGGCCATGCTTGTCACTGAATGATCTGTGGTTGTCGATGGCATCTGCTTGCAGACCAGAGAGGGACGTACCACCTGCTGTCAGCGTGGTTCATCCACTTCCCACCCCCAGGGGAGGACCCCACACAGCTGGACCACCAACATACAGTCAACATGTAGAAGCCTGGGAAAGGGGAAAGCCACATTCCAGGGCCCCAGAGTACAGATGGTTGTCACAGGGAAGTGGGATTACAGACAGAAGGAGAGCCTGCTGGCAAAGAGTGGGAGCAGGAGGCAGGTGGCTGCAGCCGACAGAGACAGGTGTCCCGCACAGCTGGAGCACCAGGCCGCAGAGAAGCTGGCTCTGACATCAAGAGCCGGCCTCAGAGATGGAAACTTCCAGAAAGATGATGGGAGCTGGGCCTCTGTGTCCCTGAAAACAAGGGGCCCTCAAGAATTTTAAAACAAGACCAGATTCTTACTCTCAAAGACCACTCCAGTGTGAGAGGATTGGAGTCAGAGAGGGAAGGGAGGAGGGTGTGTGTGTGTGTGTGTGTGTGTGTGTGTGTGTGTATGTGTTGGGTGGTGTCAGAGATCCCTGAGCAACAAGGCCAGAGTCCAGGAAGAAAAGGGCTATTAATCAGTGTCGTCAGATGGAGCGGGCTCTGGTGAGGGCGATTTAGGAGACAAAGGATGAGGCTCAGAGTTTCTGACTACTTAGCCCCTACAAAGCTAGAGGAAGGTCAGAGTTCATTTCCCCAGAGGCAGAGTTCACGGCGCTAAGTTCCCAGAGGAGCTGAGTAACCTGGTCTCAGAGCCATGCCAGGACTCCGGCCGCCAATGCAGAGAAAGTGCTGGTGACTGATAGGGGTGGGACTTGTGCCCAGCCAACGTCTTCACCAATTGAGGTGCTTGAAAGGGGAGCCTACCGGCCCACCAGCCTCTGTGTGAGGCAGGGCTACACTCTATAGCCCACACCCCAGTCTCTCACAGACCAAGCATCCTCTTTCTGCTCCCCTCCCCATCCAGGCATTTCACCCACATGGTCAAATCCCCAGTCCTGCCCCAGACCCCATAAAGCCACAGAGCTTCCTGAGACTCAGCCCCTCACCACACAAGCAGGACAAGACTGGCAGGATGCTGGGGTGACAGTGGGACAGGGGAGCAACTTTGAGCAAAGAAGCCAGCTCAACTGAGCTTCAAGGTGGAGGGGGGGGACTGGCCGCCCTCAAGGTTCTGGGAAGTTCCCTCCTAGATCTCAGAGAGCTGATGAGTTCTGGATGCAGTGAATTGGAGGAGGGCATTTAGGAAGCCCCAGGGACCCAGAAAGAGGGCCCAAACAGGAGGGCATATGGATTCTTCCAGGACTGTAACCCTGGCAAGTTTGAACAAAGCCCAGGGAAAGATCCCATGCTGGAGCCAGGCAGAAAAGTCGAAAGAAGCTTCTAGAAAGAATGGTACTCAAGTTGAATGTGCAGAGTGTGATGGGAAGTCTCTGGTGTGCCCAGAAGAGGTGCCAGAAAGGCCTCATAGAGCAGGGGCAGACCTCAGAAGTGGAGGGAGGGGGCAGAGCAGGCTCTTGGAGGCTATGCCCAGATGCAGCAGGAGGGATGGGGGTTGGGTTCCCAGGAGGCAGGGGTGGATGGTATCAGGGGACCCCCCCCCTAAGGAATGAGCTCCTCTGCTGGGAGTAGGGGAGGGCTGAGTTTGAACAAAGCCCAGGGAAAGATCCCATGCTGGAGCCAGGCAGAAAAGTCGAAAGAAGCTTCTAGAAAGAATGGTACTCAAGTTGAATGTGCAGAGTGTGATGGGAAGTCTCTGGTGTGCCCAGAAGAGGTGCCAGAAAGGCCTCATAGAGCAGGGGCAGACCTCAGAAGTGGAGGGAGGGGGCAGAGCAGGCTCTTGGAGGCTATGCCCAGATGCAGCAGGAGGGATGGGGGTTGGGTTCCCAGGAGGCAGGGGTGGATGGTATCAGGGGACCCCCCCCTAAGGAATGAGCTCCTCTGCTGGGAGTAGGGGAGGGCTGAAGGGGTGAGAGAGGGTGACCTGTCCCCTGGCACACAGGAGGCTTTTAATTCGGCAGCTGGTTAGGCCGATGCAAACCCACAGCCTCATGGGAATGCCTTTCTGACTAAAACTAGGTGTCTTATATGGAAATGATGCCTGGCTCCGGTATTCACAGCAGGATGACCAAGGCAGCCCAGCACCCGAGCCCTCATCACTTACGTGGGCCCAGAAGGTAGCCAGCGCTGTTCAGGGTCCAGCCTCTCTTCTCCTTTACCTAAAACAGGATGAAAGCAGGTCAGAGGACCCGAGTCCTCTGCTGAGGGATGGAGAGTGGACCGTGCCTGGCTTTTCGGCATAGCACAGAGCACAGGCCTGGGCATAGAGTGACAGCATTTGACCTGAACACACTGCTAGGTGCACTAGTGACACAATCATATCAGAACCAGGGCAGAGGCTCCAGCTGATAGCCCACAGAACAGCCTCCAGAGCCAGAGGACGACTGGTCCTGAAGCTGTCCTTGAACTTTTGATATTACTACCTCCACCGACTTCCAACTTCGGAGTACTGGGATTACAAACCTGGGCCACCACACCTGACTCATGCAGGAATGGAGTCATGTGCTGGTCAGCACCCAGCTGGCAGATCTCAGTCTTTCTGGGATCCCGCCCAATCCCTTAGCAGTTTCAGGGAACTTTGTGCCCCCCCCCAGGCTGGTTCTCACTCCCTGTTGCAGACTTCTGTTCCAGACACTTACAGGGATCCCGAGCCCCAGAGTGGCCCACAGGGTCCCAGCCAGCAGGAGCCAGGCTAGCAGGAGGACACTGCCTCTGGCCATCTGGAAGCAAAAGAGCAGGCAGGTTGGAGGCCTGGGCAGCCCAGCCGACGCTCCCTCCGCTCCCTCCGCGGTGCTCGAGCACGTGCAGTAGGCACAAAGTGATGAGAACTGGACTGTGCTCCGTGAGGGGGCAGAGACGCGTGGGGGATTCGCACCTCGACCCCATTTTGGATGACCCGCCCTCCTGGATGCTGTGTCGCCCCCGGGATGCTGTGGGGCTCCGGGATGCTGTGGGACCCCGGGATGCTGTGGGGCTCCGGGATGCTGTGGGGCCCCGGGATGCTGTGGGGCCCCGGGATGCTGTGGGGCCCCGGGATGTTGTGTCGCCCCGGGATGCTGTGGGGCCCCGGGATGCTGTGGGGCCCCGGGATGCTGTGGGGCCCCATGCTATGCTGCCCCGGGAGTGGCAGGAGGACCCGGGCCTGGGCGCCTCTGCAGGGCGCGGGTACCTTGATTGGCGGGGTGATGGGTCGGGTCGGTCCCGGGTGTGGTAAACGGGTCCGGGCAGGTCGGATCCGGTGTCAGGAGCTGGGTCCCGGTCTGGGCGTGGCGGGCGGGGGGGGGGGGGCGGGGGGGGGGGGGGGGGGGTGCGGTGGCTCACCGCATGGCGCGGAGGGCGGCTCGAGAGCGGCGGGGATCCCTCGACGTGTCCGCGGCAGAGCCGCCGTCGCCGCTATTTATGCCCAGCGCAGGAGCCGCCGCGTCACCGGCCCAGCGCCCGCCTCCGCCACCGAGTCCCGGGGGGCCGAGTGGCCGGAACCCGCTCCGCGGGGAGCCGCATCGCAGGAGGAGCAGCGGGGGCTCAGGGCCGAGCCCGACCCTCCCCAGAGTCATCCATGTGACCGAGCCCCCCCCCATTGCATCACCCGGGGCCTGGCGCAGGAGTGAATCTGACACCTCCATCCTGGGTCTTGCCCTCCTTCCTACCCCAGCGGGACTCCTGGACCCTGGGGGCCACCGGGGCAGGGGCTGGGAGGGACCGTCTTGCAGTCCAAGATGGGCCAGTCACACACTCCCTGGGGGCCTCCTGAGAAGTGGAGACATCCCATCCCCACTCCTGAGGGGCCTCATCTCCAGCTGGGTGTGTTAAAGTAGGGGTTCAGGGCTCAGAGCCCAGGTGGTGGGAAGTGCAGGCGTTTCCTATCGCCTGAACTCAGGGACTGCACACCTGGTTTGCTAAGAGAGGTCAGGCAGGCAGTCAGGAGTGGAGGCAGGGTGGAGGGTGGCTGTCAGCTGCCCACCCTCCCCGCATCACCCCAGCACTAGTTCCTGCTTGGAACCTCTTTTACCCCATAGCACCACCTAGGAGGGTTCTGCTGTGGCTGGGGTCCCTACTGCAGAGTCCAGAGTGGAACCCCAGGCCAGATACCAGCCAAGGGGCAGGGAAGTGGGCAGAGCAGTGGCAACCATCCAGTCCTCACTGGACTCCTGGAGCTCAGTCACCCAATTAGGACTGCACACAGGGGACCTCAGGAGAGGAAGGGGTTGCGACTCCAGTCTAAAGGGCAAGGTAAATAAACCAGTAATGGCCTCAGCACTGAATGGAAGCAGCCCATCCAGTCTGTCACCTGGCTCAGAAGTGGATCCCAAGAGCACTCACTGTCTGTCAGGTCCTGAGCATCCTGTAGGAGCCAGAAGAAGAGACCCTGCTCTCAGCTTGGCTGTGTTCACACCCAGTAGAGTCACTTAGGGTGGCCAGGATGCTGGTAAACACTGGCCTCACCCTGACCTCCCTTCCTCAGCAGGGAAGAGGGGATTTATTAAAGACCCAAAGCAGGGCACAGTGGCACCAGCCCACAGTCCTAGCTACTCAGGAGCCTGAAGCAACAGGATGCTTGAGTCCAGGAGTTCAAGACCAGCTTGGGCAATGTGGTGAGACCCTAAGTCAAAAGTAAATAAATAATTAGAGAAATCAAAATTGTCCTTTGCCTCTTCCGAGTGTCTGGTGAGAAAACCAGACTCAGATAAGCAAATATTCTATGCGTGTTTTAAGTTCTTTTAAGAAAGTTACAGCAAGCTGAGTGCAGTGGCATATGCCTGGAATCCCAGCACTGGGAAGACTGAGGCAGGAGGATCCTGAGTTCTGGGTCATCCCCAGCAACATAGTGAGTTTGAGGATAGCCTGGGCTACCTAAGACCAGGAGAAAAAGGAAAAGCAGCTAGGAGATACATTGCACGCCTGTAACCCCCAGCATTCAGCAGGCTAAGACAGAAGGACCACTTTGAGTTCAAGATCAGCGTAGGCTACATAGTGAGACACTGGGGATGGGGGGCTATGTGGAAGACTTGGTCCCATAAACTCAACACTCACTCCCAGTGCCCATTTGCTCCAGGCTCAGAAGTTTGCAACACTTAGGGTGACCTATGGGGTCCCTGGTCCCCCCACTTTGCCTGGGCAAGGGGTTTCTGCACAAATCCTAGAAAGTGGCTGCCACGTGTTTGGGAGACATTAGGAGGTGGGATGGCAGGGACAGAGAGGAGGCTGTGACTTCCTGGTCATCGGCAGATTCTCTCTGAAATGAGGACAGTGCATCCAGGATGACAGGTCCTTACCTCCCGGTACACGCTGTGCTGGAACCCACGGCCTATGTTCTAATGGGCTCCTCACTCAGCAATGACCCAGTGGTCACTGTCAACTTGTCATCTTCAAGGCGGCCCAGCATGTGGCCAGCAAAATGGGCCCCCATTAGAGTAATGGATATAAGCAGTGTCATTTTCCACACCTGTGAGATGCCGGGATGGCCTCAGAAGTCTGAGGGGAAAGAAACAACCCAAATGTGAACCCCAAAGAAACCAGCGGCCCCAAGGACTGGGCCCCAGTCCGGAGCATGTCCCAACAGTGCCCGGGTTCTGCAGCTGTGGCCTGGGACATCTCAGCAGAGGCGTCTGCCCCCACGGAGATGCCAAACGAGTGCTCGTCCAAATACATAGCCGTTATTATCCAGACTACCATCTGGTTGCCCTGAGACGGTACATGAACTCAGGAGGCTAGACCTGATGGACAGACAGGACTGTGTAGGTGACGAGTCAAGACTGTATATTCCAAGTAGAGGGGGGCACAGGGTACCCTTCTCTTCTTTCTCCTGCCGGGAATGGGAATGTGAGGACTGGAGGGGAACAGCCATTTTGGAGCTCAAGGTGATGCCTATGGATGACAGCCAGAATGAAGGAGCTGGGATCCTGGGTAACCTGAACCTGGAATCTGAGTGGCTGACCTCTAAGGCTTGTTTCTCAACAGAGGGGAAATGATTTTCTTATTTAAGCCCGTGTTATCTGGAGGCTTGTAGTACATGCATTTGGAATTATTCCGATCAGTATCTACCACAAAACACTCAATAGATGTCCAATGAGTAAGCAAGTTGGAAACAGAAGGTGCATCATCACGGGTGCTGGTAAGGTGCTAATGCTGGCGAGATGGGCTCACAAAGGGAGAGCTGGGAAGACACTATTGAGCACTGCCTGCACCCCGCTGTGACCTCATCACCGCTGGGAAAAGCAAGCCAGGAAATGGCTGGGTACCCTCATCCGGAAGCTGTGCCCTAGCCCTCCCTTTCCAGAGGTACCAACTGCCCTCACGCCCACCCAACCTGCCCGAATAACACAGCGCTCATAGGAAAATGTCTCCAGACTTACTTCCCTGAGAGGGAAAAAAATGTAACTTTGGCGGTAGGCCTGGCTCACTCGTAAAGCTCTTGCCTAGAATCCCTCAGTAAGGAGCTGGAGGCGTGGCTCAGGTAGACCACTTGCCTAGAGTCCCCCAGTGACGGGCTGGGGGTGTGGCTCAGTGGTAGAGCCTGTGCTTAGCATGCACAAAGTCCTGGGTTTCATCACCAGCACCACACAAATAAAATAAAGGCAAAAAGTCTGTATGTTGGGAAGCATGTATTGCTAAAATGACATATCAGCATAATGGGGGGGGTATGAGAGTTCAGGAACATGCATGTCGAGGGCAGAGGACAACTTTGGCGAGTCAGTTCTGACCTTCCACTCGCTGAGGTTGGGTGTTTGCTTGCTGCGTACTCCAGCCTAGCTGGCCTGTAAGCTTCCAGGAGATTCTCCTGTCTCAGACCTTCGGTTGTGCACCATCACACCCAGGCTTTTTACTTGGACTCCAGGGACTGAACTCAGGTCATCAGGCTTACACAGCAAGCAAATTCACCTACTGAGCCATCTTGCTGGCCCTAAAGTTTTTTTTTTTTATTAGTATATTGTATGCATGTGTGTTTGTGTGGAGGCCAGAGGTCAACATCCTGGGTCCCTCCTTGGGAGCCATCCACCTTGGTTTTTGTTTGTTTTGTTTTATTTTTGAGACAGGGTCTCTCACTGGGATCTGGAGCTAGGGCTTTACCTGTCTGCCTCCCTGACACCTGGATTACAGGTGCATATCACTTAAACCCAGCTTGTTTTTTAACGCAGCTGCTGGCACTGAAACTCAAGTCCTTGTGGTCATAAGGCAAGTACTTTACTAATTGAGCCATTTCTCCAGTCCCTATTAGCATATTTTAATTATACATGATAATGGGTTTCAGTATAGCGATTTCATACATGTATATAATGTACTGGATTATAGTCCCCTCTCATTAGAGAGGCTGTCAGAGGCACAGCCCCCTGCTGGCAGTCTGGCGCTCTATTGAACTCAGGGTGACTCATCCAGCTGGGGTGAAAAGAGAGGCGCTGATGTGAGCCAGTGCCCACAACGGGGGCTCAAGGAGCTGGTGTCTCAGCACCAGCCCTGACCAGTTCCACTTGTTTACAGGCCCTGAGTCATACAGACCCATGGGCAGTACCCAGACCAGATGGGGGCCTATCTAGTTTGGGGATGTGAGGTCTCTGGGGAGGGTTGACAGGCCGTGAGGGACATTCTGCTCCACCCCAGAGCTGTGCACAAGGGCCCCGCATACTTCAAGGGGCTTCAGAAGCCAGGAGCTCTTTTGTTGTTTGTTGTCTTTTTGAGACAGGGTCTCCCTGTGGTCCCAGCTGACCTAAACTCACTACATAGACCAGGCTGGCCCTGAACTTGCCCAGGAGCTTCTTTAAAGCCTCTGACTCTATGATCTACGCATAAAAAGATATGCGAGCAAGGATGAGTGTGTTCACAGCACCTGCGTCACCATCCTCGCTCATAGGTGGCATCCACTTCCTTACATCCTTTTCCCTCTCCCATGACCACCCGAGGGTGCCCACCATCAGTCAGATTTTAAGGCCAGCTTCTAGACTCTCCTGTCTTGACACCTGCTCCCATCTCTTCCCATTCTCGGGGCGGGGGGCTCCTCTCTATCCCCTGAGCATCCAGAACTCAAGACATTTTAGTTGCTGACCAAAAGCTGAGCTGCACCTTCCTGGGGGCGCTGGGGATGACAGCATCTCCCATCCCCATGACAGCTGAGCTTGATGGACAGACATATCCACAGGGTCCTGGGAGCCATTGTGCGTTTGTATGGCTTGGGACATCCACTGGGGATGCTGAAGCTGTCTCTATCTCCACCCACCCGTTCCCCCCTCCTGGGGACCCCCATCTCCTCATGTTGTTTCCAGGCAGCAAA